AACATTCATGGGCTTGGGTTGGAAAGGATTTGTCCACATGCTTCATGGCACATGATGTAAGGGCTCCAAACTATTTGGGGAACAAGATATATGCAGATTTTTCCTGTTTTAATGCTCCAAACTGTTTTGGAGAAGAGTTATGTGCAAATTTTTTCACTACATTTGTATGCCAAACTGTTTTAGGAATGAGTTATGTGCAGATTCATGCCAAACTATTTTAGGAATAAGTCATATACATATTTTTATTGTTTCTTATATTCTAAGCTATTTGGGAGAAAATTATGTACGGTTTTACTCACTGGTTCTGTGCTCTAAAACTGATTTTTGAGACGTGTTAGTTGCAGATTTTTGCCGATTTTATGTTCCAAATTGTCTTTGGAAACAAATAAATGCAGATTTTGATGTGAATTGGATTTTAAATTTTTTTTAGAGGCAAACTTGATGCGGATTTTCATTTGTTTTACTCTCCAAATTGTTTCGACAATGAACTATATCTAAATTTGAATTGCACTGAAGCATTTCTCGAGCTTTAGAGAATAAATCAACAACAAATTCTCACTTTTTCCTTCTAATATCAAGAGATCGAATTTGAACCTTTTTGACAGTTTTATATATGTGACATAAGAACAAGTTTATGATTATGAGTTGGAAAATCTTGTGAATTGTTTTGTGTTGAGAAATTCTACAATAAATGTTATGAATCATTTTGCCTCAAGAAATGCTTTGTGAATGTTTTATATCGAAAAACCTCATGAAACCTTCTTGTTAAAAGATTTTCATGAATATACCCCACGCCAAATATAAGAGCACTCGGTGATTTTGTGTCGGATAGGGCTTTGGGGGTTTCTTATAAAAATAATAATAAAAAAAAGAGGGGTTTTGGTGTTGTTTTGTTTGGAGGTTTTATAAATTGTTTTTTTTTTATTTAGAGTTTCATGTTTTGCTTCGTGTTGTAGGCTCTCTAGTATCTTTTTAGAATGAAATCATATTTCGTATGTGAGTTGTTTTTCCTCTCTTTGTATTTGTTTCTAAAAGTCGGGTTTTGGATAAGTATGGAAAGAGAAGCTTACTTTGGTTCTAGTTTTGGGAAATTATTTCCCCTCCGCTATTTTTAGCTTTATTTAGAGAATGATTTGATTAATTAAGTCGGGTATTGTTCGAGTGCTTTGTTTGGAACGTGGGGACAGTAAAGGGCATTGAAAACTCCTTCCGCCCTATTCATATCACATTGAATCAGGGTGAAGGTTGTTTTAGAGGCACACTTGACTTCAAAGAAGTGTGCCCAATAATAACAATGCATACATTCATTTTATTTTTTATTTTCATTCTTTTCTTTTTATTGCATTTAGTCGCCTTTCTTTTCTTTTCTTTTAGTCTTTTCGCTACTTTTCGAACTTGGGATTTAAAATCAAACGCTACGAAAAAATGAGAAAATAAAAAAAAAGAAGTCAAGTGGCCTACCCAATGTGCAAATAACAAAAAGGTACGTTTTTTTTTAATTGCATTTCCATTTCTTTTTATCATCATTTGCTCATACTATAGAACGTGCTCTAGCTAATACAACCCTTTGCTTTTCTGTGTCTTGCGAGGTTGTTCTAAGGGTTAGAAAAACTTCTTTTTTGTCCAATAACTTTAGTGACACCTAAGGACAAAAATTAAGGACTGGGTCTTAGATAACATAGACTTAGGGTGCATGTTCCTTTTAGGATAGAGACTTTAAAAAATAGAAAATATAGTGACACATTTTCCTAGGATTCGTGTCTTAATCTATTAATGACTAATCAATAAAATTGGTAATACTCTATGTTTAAAAAAAAAAGCTAAACCCATCTTAGATTTAGGGTTCAGGGCTACTACATCGGGTGTCTCGTAGTATGCCTAAATAGTAGTTAGGTCCCTGCTCTCTAGGGACTATAAATCCTGCTCATCCGCGTCGCGTAGATGACGCTACTTCCATCCCTTCTATCTGGATGCTTTGAGTGTGTGATTTTCTTTCCCTCTTCAACTACCTCAGTTCCTCTGAGTGTGGATGTGAGTCGTGCATGTTGACTAATCCCCTTGACCCTTTCTTTCCTTTGGAGTATGAACTTCCTAGTCTCCCTTTTCTGTGCCAACCCCTTTTTGAGAAGAATAATATTGGATCCTTAATCGAGAGTTTTCTCGGGCCCTAGGCTCAAGATGTAATTAACCACGGGGGCTTGTGCCTGTGGGAAACGGAATTCCACAACAAATAAACCCCACTCGAGCTGTTGTATCGGGTGGGGGAAACCCATGACTATGATCAGGTCGTGTATATTACTACCCATCGAGGTGTGCTGGCGAGAGCCGCTATCCTCAATGGTTAGTCATATGCACGATCCAATCTGTCCCTTCCAATTGACCTGTTCGCGCGGTGCTCTTTCGGATGTCCACAGACCGTTTAACTTTGTAAAGATGACTCGCCTATGCTTTGGACTTATCACATTAAAGGATATGAGTTCGAAATTTGAATTTATGCATGAGATCAAAAATAAAGTCAACACCTTTAGAAAGCATCAATAAAATTGTCTCAAAAAAAATCTAAGAAAAAGTGATGTGAAACGGGTAGGAGGCTTTGCGTGGAAGAGGATCTCTCAGCAGCTTTGGGGTTTTCAAACTCTTGGACAGCAGCTCTTATTGTTGGATTGTTAAAATTCAGCCTTCTTGCAAGCTGGGATAGTCGTTGGGACTGCAGGACAGCAGTTTCGCTAGCTGAAATTCCCTGGACAGCAGTCTGGCGCCGATGTGCAGGAAATCTGGACAGCAACCAACGGAGGAGTAAACGAACCTCAGGTGTGATCGTTGTGGTTGTCGACAAAGAGAGGACAGCAGATTGAAGCCAGGAGAGGTTTTGGGCAGCAGTTTTCTGCTTCCTTGCAATCTAGACAGCAACTTGCAATGTTGGGGAACACCCTGGACAGCTTCTATAAAGCATTGGCAACTTTGGACCACCACGTATGGAGGATGGGAGCCCTTGGGCAGCAGGTAGGGGCCTTCAAACGCTTAGGATGCAAGCCAATGGCAGAGAATTTCGGCTGCAGTTTTAGGGAGCAAGAGAGTTCATGATTTGTGAGCTGTTGGAGACGTTAGTAGAGGACCAACAGCAAGGGAAACCTGGGAGAATTTCGGCCAGCAGGGAATACGGGAAGGAAATTTTGCCAAAAGTAATACGTTGCAAATTTGGATAGATTTCAAAGGAAATTTAATAAGGAGATGAGGCCGGTGGCAGTAATGGGAAATATGGGTTTAATGCACTCAATTGTGGTGGGGAATTAATTGGTTGGGGAAAATAGGAAATTCAGTTAATTAAAATCCATTTGAATTTGAAAATCCAAATTGATTTAATTACATTAACT